CCCTGAACACACCACTTTGCCTACCTCTTGCTGCGCCAAGCTCTTCTCTGACTCCTGCTTCACCCAGGTCAGGTAATGCCTGTAGTCGTTGAACTCCTTCACAGTGCAAATCACCTATGGAGGGATGAGGGCAGAATCCCCTGAGCACTGTCAAGCCATGCAGATGGCCTTCCCTGAAACAGCCTGACCCCAGTGGGATGGGAGCTGYCCCCCAGCCCTCCCCCCTATCCCGGTGTCTGGGCCCCTGGTGCACCCCCAGCCAGGGCTGAGCAGGCAGCACAGCGCAGCCTGAGAAGGGCAGGACTGGGACWKGCCAGGGGCTGTTGGTGCTGCTTCTGCTCCCAGGGACACCAGCGCACGGCCCTGCCCTGTGACAGCAGCAGTTGGCTGCAGCAAGGGCTGTGGGAGCTGCGCTTGGAGAGGGCTGTGCTTGATCAGCCCGACACCCAAACCCACATAGTTGTCACTGGTGATGACGCCCTGTCTCTTCAGCAAACGCCGGATATCCTTGCGCATGTGGTAGTCCCGAAGGGCAGGGTCATGCAGGCAGTTGTATCGTGGGTTGAACCGGTACAAGTAGGGATCATCCAGAGTATAAAAAAGGAACGGCCGGCAGAGCTGTAAGAGAGAATTTCCAGCGTATGAAATAGAAGAAAGGAGCAAAGAGGTACCACATGGTAGATGTGAAAAGGCAAATGTCTWCTCCATCCTTCTGTAGGCACAGAGACATGCACAGATAGACTGCAGGGCTGGGCTGGGCCAGGTTGGGCTATGATGGGTCAGAGGAGAGAAGGCAAACCCCAACAGCAACTCCACCAGCAAATAAGTATCTCAGGCCACCAGGAAGAACTGCAGACCCATCCATAAATGAACCTTCAAAGGTTCAAATGTAGCCAATGGAGAATGGATAAAACCAGCCTCCTGAGGTTAGGCAGGCCCAAGGACTGTGTCAGCTGCCTCTGCTCCCAAAAAGTCTCTGCCTTGGGAAGGAGCAGCACAAGTTGGAGGACAACAGTGCATGTAAATTCTCAAGCAGGGAAGCCCAGGGTATTTCAAAGGTACCAAGAAGGCAAGCAGGAGAAGATTGGAATCTTTCTCAAAGGTGCCCTGGGACCTGGCTTGACATTGTGGGATGAGCTGGAAGGGTGCATTGCCTTGAGACCCAGACACAACCAGCCACYTGCTGAAAGCAGGGGCCTGCCACACACATACACGGTGCCAAAAACCAGTGCTGAGATGGACAATCGCTTTTTCTCTGCATGGCAGGAAGCCCACCCCTGTCTGATTGAAAGGCTGCAGCTCCTGCTGTAGTGCAGGTGGCCACAAGAAAATCTCTGCATGATGGTGACACTATGAAAGAGGGGAGATTTTCTACCCCTTTCTACTTCCTTTACCTTTTCACCCAGYTTTCTCCTGGAGAAGACAGGCTTAGATCTAGGTGACACAGGGATCTTGACTCCAAGTGGGAGGTTTAGCAGTTCAGGGTCCATTTTCTTGTTATCTCCTCCCAGGTGTGGTYTTCTGGGGCTGAGAAGGGAAGACACAGACACTCAGGTGTGCTCAATAAGCCTCCTGCATGGCAATCCTGAGGGCCCACTAGAGCATCACCCTGKGTCCCAAGCTTCCCAGCAGAGCCCTCTCTATTGGCCCACGGGTCCCCTCCCCCCTAATTCCCAGTGCACTCAGCAGTGCCTCTGCCTTTGGCAGGACACCAGCTGTGGGATGGTGCTCCACAGCTCTAACACCTCTCATGGTGCTGTGATCCCACGCTGACTCTTSCTCTAGAGACACAACAGCTGGGTTCCTGGCTAAATAAGCCATGGGGCATTGTTACATCATGGTGATGTCACATCAATGCATGGTCACATCACTGCATTGTACCATCTCCACGCTGACATTGCATCACACAGAAACTGTCCACCAAACCCGTGGCGGGGGCTGCCTGTAGGCCCTTTTGGGCAGTCCTGTGATCCACCTGCTCTTTGTGACCCATCTGTAAGAGCTCACATCCACAGGCCACTTGGCTCCCTCTCCTGTCATTCTGAGGTAAAGTCTCCGTGCCAGCAGAAAGGAATGGGAGGAATTGTGACACCAAAGGGCTCTGAGTTTGTCTTGCGTTCCCTTTTTAAACCTTCATCCCTGTCATGGCCAAGCAGCTGCAACTTGGGRAATTGCACCAAACTGGATATTTGGCCCATCCCTGGCAACATCTGATTCCTGGGTCATGTCTTGAGAAACAGTAGAAAAACACAGGCTGAGGGAAAACTCTCTCCTCCCCTTTCCTCAGGCTCTCCTTCAGCCCGGACACCTCTCTGCTGCATTCCCAGTCTCCCYTTCCCTTGTTTCTGCTGYYCCYAYCTGCTCTCATTTCCCAYACCTTTTTTRGCTCGATTTAGCAAGGTCTCCASTGCCCATTCCTCCAGCCCGTCTGGTTCATTGGGGCAGCTTTTACACTGCRGAGTCCTGCCAGCCTCGCTCCTTGCACAAAGGCAAGAGACAGGCAGAGCRATCTGTTGGAGGTGCAGTGATTACCACGGGTCTCYTGGGAAACAGCGAGAGGCACAGCCCAGGGATGGYGCTCCTCTCCTGCCAAAGCAGTTTGYGGCACATGCTCCAGCTGCAGCTCTTGTGCWGCTTGGCAAGCRGAGGAGCARMATTGRCTGTGCCCCCATTTCCCTGTGCCAYATATCCYGCTCAGCCATGAGGGCCACGAGCCCCACACCACCTTCAGCTGTGATGTTCCTTTCTTGGTGACATCCCTGCAGGGAAATCCACTGAATTTCACAGCACAGAACTGCAGCAGCCCAGCAAGGACAGGAGAGAGAAGGTCTCTGCTCAATGTCTTGGCCGTGTCTGATGTGCAGAGGGGACAAAGGAAAGCAGTTTGGGCTCCTTCCTGGGCTGCAAAGCTTCGTTTTTGGCACATTTACTTTCCTTGATGTGTGGGGAAACACTGCACCCCAACTGATCTGGCTGATCTAAGCTGGGTCTGTCTGCAACCCGCATCAGAACAAGCAGAGTCCAGCCAGGTGGAGTGTCATTCCTGGTCCCTGGGAAGGGCTGCCGCTCTGTGCCCAGCCAGAACAGGCAAGTATGGCAAATGTCTGAGCATTCCTGATTATTTTAACCATGGACACTTGTATCAGAGAAGCTGCACCCCTGGACAGTCAACAAGCAGAAAAGTCACAAACTGGCACAGACACATCCCTGAACTGCCAAAAGCCATGTGCTCTCAGTGGGAACAGCAGAGGAAAGGATTGCAGTGGGATCTAGCGAAGACTGACTTTGGGAGAAGGAAGTGATTCTCAGGACAGGTGTGTATCTTGGTTTGAAAGACAGATGTCTGCCAAGGAAGGCGGGAACCTTCCTCGGAATCTAGAGAATATGACCGACCCCCTCCCCCGCTTCCCTCCAAACTATTATAACTTCGAAATTACAGGGCTTCCTTTACAGCTTCAACGAGGCCAGCCGATCCCGTGCCCCTCTAGAGGGCGAGATAGGCTGCAGCAGGGGATCCTGGAGCAGGGCGAGGGATGCCAGGGGCTGCCTCACCCCGGGAGTGACAAACAAATGGTRSCAGATAATCCAGGGCCCTTCCCRAAGCCGCAGGGAATCCGRGTGTCGGGTTACAGCGGAGCAAAAAGCCCTGAAACAGAGGCAGAGAACAGCGGGGGCTGGGCAGGGAGCTGTTCCCTCGGTGGCTCACCAGCGATGGCTGCTCCTGGGTCAGGGCTGTGCAGACAGGCCCCCGTTCCCTGGCGGGGAACGCCGTGTTCCCGGGTCTCGCTGTGGTAGGCACTGGCTCTGGGCCCCCAAGAAGCAGGGAAAGCAAGCCAATAAGCTCCAGTCACGGTGCCGAAGGGAAAAGGCAGGGAAAAAAGGGCAAAAATCTAAGCCACAACTGTATCTCTCGTGAGAGCGATCGCAGCGAGTACCTGCCGGCACCAAAATCCTCCACCGATTCAGAGACAACAGCCCCTCGCCCCTGATGCTCGAAAAAGGCTTCGAAATAAAACTCTATTGGCCGGTGTCTATAGAGCAGGTATTTGTTTACTGCAGCGCTGCTGTAGCGCTGGAGGTGAGGGGGATTTCTCTTCTTAACTCACTTGGCTTCGCTTAGAATTGGCAGGTTTTTATACAGTAAGCATGGTGTAACATTACCGTCGTCACTACGCTTACTACTATGTATGGGTACGGAAATACATGATATCACAGTTCTGCAAGTGCACATGTGTCATCCTCAATTCGGTGGTTGTGGGGATCTCCAACTAATGAGATACCATCCTCTTCATCATGGTGGACCTTTTACTTTTGTCTTCAGGGCATGTGCAGTTGGGATGTTCATGGTTTTTTCTAGTCTTCTAAATCTTCATTTTCTATTTTTTTGTTGACTTGTGTTTCTACTAAATTCTCATTACTGCTCTCTACTGTTCTTTGTTATAGCATCTACCTGTCTACTTTCTTCAGAACTTTTTCTGATTTATGCTCCTTGGTGATTTTAGGTGTTGGCATACTAATCCAGATGGCTGGATTACATCCAGCTGATACACTGTATGTTGCTAATACCCTGTATAAAAACRTATAACAATATATGAAAAGGCTATTATTGATAATATATTGAAAGCTATTACATTGTATATTAATAATATGTAAAAAGTTGTTACATTCTTATATTGATAATGTACAAAAAAGTTATAGAAAGTTTTCATCAATAGGCCTCATAAGCACCTTGTCACTTTGACATAAATCATAGGTATCATTCCCCCCCAATCTTGGGCTGGCTGTCAACTATCATGATATCCCCAGAGCCAGGGGAGGGGGTTSACCATCACRGACACAAAATAAAAAYGAAACAAAACCCAAARATGGTATGGGATAAAAAAGACATCCCCAAGATAGTGTATTAAGAGTCTATAGTTTTTTTAAGTGATGAAAGTCCAGAGTGAAATACAGTGCTGTCAAAAATCCCATTATACAAACACTATGCTGATGTTTTGGTAAAATAAAATAAAAAAATATTTCTCTCAAAACTTTGGAGTTATTTCCCAGTTGCTTTCTATTTTTATTTTCTGCAACTTCTTCTTTCTTTTCTAGAAACCTGCTATTTTAAGACCCACTGTGAAATTTCTAGGGTATAAATCTACACTGAAAAGTGTATTTTCAAACTTTTTTTTCCTGTAGCAGTATTTTTAGTAAGTCACTCTGTTTCCACAGATTCCTGGCACACAGGCTCTGTCAAAAAAGCACTAGCACATACTGTGCTGCACAATGATGGGGACACTGCTTTAAACCATCTTTTGTGTTCTCTGGGTCCTGTGCTTCTCCTGGCACTGGGCTGAGCCTGATTTGTACAGCCAGATTCATACAGCAACAGCAGTTCTTGCAGCTGGAGGAAGATAGAAGGAAAAAGAACTTGGGCCTTGTGTCTTCCTCTGAAGCCAGACAGCATCAGCAGCCCTGGCACTATATGTGCGGACACCTTGGCCACAGCAGTTACCCTTTCCATCACCAAACTTGACAGGCAGCAATCCTTTGCTGGTCTGTGGCCTCTGAGCATAAATTCAAGGATTATCCCAGGAAACCTACCTGAACCAGGGAGAATTTATCCACCCACGGTGACACACACTTGACGTTAAGAATTCCAGCATGCATAGATTTGTGCTCTTCTGTGTCAATCTGGTTTGGGCTTTAACCTAGTATAAACTASCAAAAAAAGAAAATAAAATTTATTKGCTTCTGAACAGCTCTGTTATCACAGCAGAMCCCGCGCTCCCCTGGCTGTACCAGAGGGTGAACAGGGCTGAGGGGCAGTGACAATCCCCTCGGATAGGCCCTGCTCAGGCTCACCGGCTCCCCGGGACATGGGACACCAGCCGAGGGGAAGGAGCGCAACCGGCGGCGGCTGCGACACCCAGGGGTGGATGTGCGGAGGAGCGGCTCCCGCATCCCGGCATCGGCTCGCCGGGGGGCTCAAGGGGTCAGGCCCCAACTCTCCCCTCTATCTCACCCCTATCACCCCGCGCTCACGCTCCCCGCAGGGTACTGAGGCTATGCACCGCTGCGGGTGGAGCTGCCCCGGCCCAGCGGCACAGCCCGGCACAGCCCAGCCCAGCCCAGCCCAGCCCAGCCCAGCCCGGCCCGGCCCGGCGGCACAGCCCGGCACAGCACAGTCCAGCGGTGCCGCTCCTTGCCCGTGCCCCGCCATGGCCGCCCCGACGGGCTCCGTGCTCGCTCCCTGCGCGCGCTCTCCGGCCGGAGTGGGCGGAGCTCCCGCGGCCCCGCCCCCTGCCCGCGCCGCAGCGCGGCGGCCATTTTGTGCGGCAGCGGTCAATGCGCGGGATTCAGCGCGCCGCGGGCCCGGGCGGGGCAGCTCCGTTCTAACCCCTTTTCCCGTACAGATCCCTCGGTAAGAGCGCGGCGGCGCCCGGGCCGGCCGGGCCGCCTGCCCAGCCCCGCGCTGCGGGCCCGTGGCTCGGCGGGGAGACGGGGGGAGGGAGGCCGGGCGGGCGCGTCTCCTCGCACAAAGGGCTGGGCCGGGCGACGCCTCCCGCCTGCGGCCCCGGGGCGCCGAGCGGGGCCGCTCTCGCCCGGCTGCGTCCCGATGCGCTGAGGGCCGCGGCTCGGGCCGGCCCCGCCCGCTCCCCGGTCCCTGGCTCCCTCCCGCGCCCGGCGGCCCGCGGAGCTGTGCGGATGGGTGAGTCTGTGCGGGCCGAGCGCAGGCGCCGCGGGCCCGGCCGGCGGGGGCGGCCGAGTGACCTTGCGGCGGCGCCGGAGCTCGAGCCGGAACAGGGGCCGCATGGCAGGGCCTGTAGCGGGGTCCGRGCCGGAGATTTGACGGGTCCGGAGCGATGTCCGGCGGGCCGGGAGCGATGGGGAACTGCGCGGTCCCCTGGTTGGCGCGGGGCCCCGGCGGGTGTGGTCCCGGGAGTGCTTGGCGGGGCGGCTGCCCCTTGCCCGGCCCTGGGGGAYGAAACGAGGCAAACACTCGGCACTTTTCGGGGAGGAAGGTCCCCGGTGTCTGCGGCACTGTGCAGCTCGTCGGGGGTATCTTATAAACACCAGGGAAGTTGCCATTCCGTCAAGTAACGCTGTCTTGTGCTAGTAAGGATCAGCTCTGTTAAAAAAAAAAAAGAAGAAACCAAACAGCACCAACCAAACAAAATACACCTCCCCAGTTCAATGGAAAAAAACAAAGCTACCCTTCCTAGAAAAAAAACCCAATGTAGCGTTCAGATGGGTCTCGAAAATACTCTGTAAGTTTTCTTTCGAAGAAACCTCATGGCTCTGGTTTAACTCACTCTTAAACTTACCTGCTATTTTTGGTGGTTTGCTTCCCCACCTTGATCTGCTGGGGTTAGGCAGGCAAATCGGCCGGTTGTTTCCTTGGTGGAGTCCTCTGGTTTAATCGGTTGTGGTGTTGGTTTAATCGGTTGCTGGGTCTGTCTKCGCAGCTCAAGGGTGTTGCGGAGTCTCTGCTGAGAACCCCCGAGGTGTCGTGTTAGAGCGTTACRTGGAAACACCAGTGCTCTAGCCAGTGCTTGTCTAGTTAATATGCTCTTGCTTATTCTGTTGATTGGAAAGGATATTTTTACCTACAGAGGGCATGGATGGTTTTCTTTAAAGTTGAGAGATTTGAGACTTGAAAGGAGAGGTRGATGGCTTTCGGTGGAGAGGTTAAACATAGCAGAGTGGAGTTTTGCAAAAAGGAGTTTTGCAYCTTTTCTGAATGCTGCCTGGTTTTGTTTGTATTGTCTTAGTCCACTGCAAATCTTCGCCTTGTTTTCAGTGTTGCGAAGAGGAACGTATGCAACACCGTGGTTGCGATACTGGAAATCCTTTTAATGACTTGGGGTTTTCTTCTAAATGGGAAGTTCCTTGTGCATGAAAGATTTATCTGCTGCTTGAAGCAGGTGTGTTTTTGCATGAAGCTTTTTTTCCAGGTGATTACGTTTCTTTCTGTCTTTGTAAACTCTTACTTGACACTGTTACGGATGAAAGTATATAGTTTAGTCCTTCTAATATAGMATTGCATGTTTCTCTTAAAGGTCTAATAAACAATAGTCTTGTTTTTCTAAAAGCATTTGCCATTTTAATATAAGTCTGTAGAGTGTAGTTGTATCTTTCTCACTTTTAAGTTTGCCGTTAATATCCTGGAAGACRTGTGAATATCTGTGTTGTTTTAATTCCCTGTGTTAGGGAGTTTGTTGAGGGTTTGTTAGTAATTCTTGCTCTAAGTTCACTTTGAYAATGATGCTTGTAACTGAAACTGTCTTTTGGGTTGTGTTAGGAGGAGGCAGTTATCTGTTCTTAGTGAGATTCATTCCTCCATGGCTTTCCAAAGAATCACAGCTTTAGTGGTGAATCACAGTTTATTGAGATGGTTTGCCAAGTAATGAAGGAGCAAAGGTTTTCCATCCCATCTTAAATACAAACTACATGTGTTGCCACGTAAAATGCTTGACATYTTTGTGGAGTTGTAATCCTGGGAAATTTTTATAATTTTTATACAGGGATGAAAAAAATGGGCATTTGATCAGGATTTGGATAATGAAGTGACAGATTACAAATGAAAATAGTCTCTTACTGGAGTTCTTGGTGTGTGCTCTGTGGAATTGACTGCCTAGAAATGGCTGTGAAATGTCACTTAGTTTTACCAGCTAGTGTGACTTTTCACCTGCAGCTATAGGGAGGTTTTCTGAGGCATGGCTTATGTTGCTTTGTTCGAGTAAGTAGATGCAGAGCTGGAGGAAGGGATATCTTTGATGGAGCAAAGGTTTGGTAAAATTCAGGGCTTTCAAGTATTTAACTCTTGTTCTTTGCCTTTGAAAGAGATTTGTTCACCTGTTGGTCATGGGAAAATTTGGAAGACTTTTTGCGTGTTTCCTGGTTCTTTCTATATTCTTTGTGGAAGGCATATTTAAGTCTTGAAATSGTACAAAAGCTCTACAGTGCAATTGCCAACAAATCTCACGGAGATAAGACATAGAAAATGCACTCTTGTGATTCTTGTACRTTGCAGTGCCTTGTGGTGGACGCAGGTTTGAAATTCTATGTATACAGTTCTTTGTGGACTGTTAGTGCTGTTGTGTTGCCTGCATTGATTTTTGCCTCCATTTATTCTTTATTGCAGTCTAAAAGTTGGTTTTAATTGGTTGCCCACAGGATTGGCTTGGCTTCTGCTACTTGTTAAGAAAAAAACATCTGTCTTTGCAGGTAAGAGCTTTTGAATTGAAGACTTCTTTATATGCATATTGAGTATATCCTAAGAAACACTTGAAGCTTTTGGAGTCTGAATTTGTGTCAAAAGACTTGGGCCAAATAATCTGCATCTTGTCTACTCACCAGTGGCGATGGTGGTTTTGGCAGTATTTTTCTTGTAAAAAAAAAAGTAAATCTTTTTCTTGCAAACAGAATTTTCTGCCAAATTAACATTTTGTTTTTCATCAGCATGTGGTAGTCCAGAACACTCTCCCAGTTATTTTGCACTGTTGGAAAATGCAGTTACTTTGCTGCAGGCCACAGGTCTGTGTGTTCGTAACTGTTGGAGTGTAGAAGTGTACATCAGTTGGTTCTAATYAGGTTTTGCAACACTTAAAGGGATCAGGTAGTTTCAAATTGGCTCAAAAATGAATGTAACAGCTTGACTTTAGCCTTTAAAAAGAAAAAGACAAAACTGTAGTATGCATTATTTTGTGAGACAGTCTCATAGCTAAAATTGCTCCTCCAATACCAGTATTTAATTGAGTTCCTAGTCTTCACCCAAGAATTGCCATATATGTCTGTATATCATGTGGGTATTATACTTTAATACTTACCAGGAGMTAGGTTGAATCTTCTGAACTTTTCTGTTGCAAAATGCATACATCTTAAAAGGGTAGTCTGGTGTGCTTATGAATTTATATGGATGACCCAAATTATTCTTATTTTATTGACTAGCATATTTATGATTTTTAATGTAACATCAACATTTTTAAAAGACATGTTAAGATTCATCARATGAGTTGAATCACATTGATTGTCAACAGCTGTCAATCTCCAGCTTTGACTGTGGCTTGCTAATGCGGATGCATTGTCCACATTACACCCCTGGGATGGTGTTCTTCCACAGATACACTAAACACACAAAATGACAACAAAACCCACTTTTGCCTTAAAGTACCTTTTCATATCAGGGGGAAAGCAGGCAGCCTGAGAACGTGTCTGACAGCCAGACGAAAAGCTTTCAGTGACTGCTGGACTGGTGTGCTACCTGTTCTGTGTCTGAAGTTAATGTTGCCTCTGTGTGTATTGGTCTTTCAAAGTGAACAGTGAAATATTGGAGCAGGCTTTGCATTTTCATTACTTAGAAAATTTGAGTGAGTGGGTTATTGACTCCTAAGCACATTTTGGAAAAAATGTGGGTTGTGAGTGTTCAGAAATTTAAAATTTGGCCTTTTTGGTTCTTTAGATTTTTCTTTACATCATAGAAGTGATACTACTATATCAGAGCACCGAAATTCTGAAAAAATGAAACAGCTGTGTTAGGTGTTGACAAAATACTCTTTTTGACAAAAATACTTGATTAGTCAAGTCCTTAAAATTCTTTTTATTCAGACCATGTTACTGTCAGCTCTTGCTTAATATTATGCAAGCATTTGCTTAATATTCTGCATGGAATTAACTACACTGAAGTCATTGCAGAAAGTTTTTTTAGTGACTATATGCCTAAGCAGCTCTTTGGATTTTTTTGTCAGTAGTGGTTTGGTGGATCTGAATACTTAGTATTTATATACTCAGGGGATCTGAATACTTAGTAAGGAGAAATTGAGGACTCCCTTAGCATTTATTATGAAGTTTTGAATTTAATGCAAAATTGAAAGACTTGCATTATCCCAGAAGTTGCGTAAATGTTCAAATGCTTGAACTGTTTTGTGACTTTATCTGGTGATTTTTCTTCTTGGATGGATTAATGAAATTGTTTGTAAATGCAGTTATCTAGCAGGTGTCAATTCTGTTAAAGACTGTAAGGTGTTCCAAACCAGCAGACCTCAGTACTCACACCTTCTCAAGTTGCCTTTGTTAAACCAATGGCCATATCAGATTGTCATCCATTTTTCATTAAGGAAATAGCAAAAAGTAGACTACCATTTAACACAAGAAACTTCAAATGTCTTAACTTTTGAGACATAAAAATTTCTGAGACTAAYTTCTATGCATAATAGATAGTAGAAGAAATCTAAACCTGGCAATTTTGAAAAAGCACAGCTGCAAAGCCAGGGATGCCTTTATGCTGCTTGCTTGCCTAATGATCATCTAATGCTAAAGCAATCCTGTAGCAAAACATAATAAACCTAGTAAACCAGTTACCATAGTAAACCTCTTTAATACAGATTCTTTTTAAAGGAGACAGAATTTAAATTTTAACTTTAATTTCAGAGATTGTCATAAATGCTAGGCAAATTTAAAATAAAACTATAGAATCATTGTAAAACTGCTTTTTCAAAACAGTGCAAAAAGTCTTAGAAGTGTTTTTAAATGTTTAGATAGCATAGGTAGTCCTTGCTTTGGCCTGCTGTGGTTCTTTTTTTTCCTCATGGGGAAGTTTTGTTTGAAAATGATTGGGCAATGAATTTTATTTTCAGATTAAATATAATTCATCTATAAGGGTTAAAGGCAAACGTGTTGCTTCTGTWACCTCACCATGGAGATGAGAAAGTTGCTTTTGAAGAAAATTATCCCTAAGGCTTAGTATACATTTGCCTTTCTGTTGCTGTCTTCCCTTGGTGGAATAGGAGTTTTCTTAGTGGCATTTTTTTCTTTTTTTTAGATCTTCTTAAGCTTGTGTTGCAAGTTCCAGTCTCTCTTTCAGGATGGTGCAGTAACGAGTCTGGTATTCATGCACAGCGACTAGAGCAGCAGAGCTGACTTGGTGTGAATGGGCTTGTTTGCTGTTTCCTTGTGGGAGAAAGGTCCTTCGAACTTTTCTGGTGTCAATTAGTTTGTAGGGCAATGCCCTGTAATACCCCAGGATSTTGCTTGAATTCATTAGTGTGTTGAAGGGTTGTATTGATGAGCAGAACAAAATACTTACGGACTCATTTTAGTAATCTGAAGTTCCATCATGCAAACAAAAGAATTGTTGCTTCTTCACCCTGTAGAATAATTGTTACTCCTGTTTTCATTAAGTACTGAATTCAGTACTTCATTTATGTGGTTAAATTGCGGCTTTACCTAGTCATTCAAAAYTTGCCTTTTCTGAAGTGTTTGGATGACCTGAACAAGCAGCTGGAGCCAACTGACAGATCTGACTGTATGCTGGGATATAGCTGAATTGTTGGGAGATAGTTACTGATTGTAGTTGGTCAGATCTTTGGTAACGGTCAGGAGTCTTTGATGCATGGCTTTGTGGTGATTTGCACTGGAGTGTCTGGTTGGAATTGATCTTTAAGGTCTTTTCCAGCCTGAACAGTTGTGTGATTCTCTGTGATCTGGTTCATCCTTGRTTTCAAATGCTGCCTTAACACCATTTGTATGGGACTGATGGGAGCAGGGGCGATCTTCCGTACTGAACTGGCTTGTACTTCAGAAGTCAGGAAGCTTCAGAGATGAAGTGGCTCAGGTGAAGCATGGTGCTATTGCCGGTGGTTTAGGATGAGAGACTGGCTTCTGAACTGTTGAGTTGTGCTAMTATTATTAAGATGCTTTCAGCCTTTGCTGAAGGTTTATCAAGAATAAGTGACAAATATCTAGTTTCCTGTTTATCTTCAGTTTCTGATATGACCTGAGACTTCTGAGGTCACAAGGTAATATCTACTAATGTCAGCTGTAGAGGTAAATCAGTTTACTTAATGTCTGAGACATAAGGTGTCATGCTGGACAGAATATCTGCAACTATTAAAAATACCTTGTTTTTGAAAATTGTGAAGGTCATATATCTAGCTAGATCTGCATGGATGTTAATTTAGGTGAAGTCTCTATTGTCATAAAATGTCTGATGCTAGTTTATAATAGCAAGCTTTAGGTCACCTGGACATYTTGCCTTTGCTAGGAGAAAATCATCAAGTCAGTATAAGATAGATGCTCCCTGTCAGGATGGCTTGCGMGTCTCACAGTTGCTAGTTGTCTATAATGGGTTTTTGTTCATAACCAACCCACTGTTAATGTTTCTAGCTGTCTTTGCTTGGCAGGAGGTAAAATCCTTCCCCACATGAAAGGGAGCAGTTTGTTCCTCATAGCTGTGCAGAATTTTTCAGTCACTTTGTCAGGTACCGTGGATATAATATTAGTGTATAGTAAATAAATTTTATTTTCTTGGCTAAAATACTCCTTTCACTTACATTCATTAAATAATGAACTAYTGATGTAATAGTTGTGATTTTTGATGTTCCTTAGTTTGGTTATTTTAACAGACACTTGTGGGTCTTAGTATAACAGCTATTTTGGAATTTCTAGTGCAAAATGTATACTGATTGTGTTGGCAAATGTTTAAWACTTCAGTCTGTATGAAGGAAACAGATGTGAATAAGGAACTTAATAATCTTTGCAAGATGTTACTAGGTGTATTTAAACAAAAATAGTAGATGGTGTCTGTAGGTAATTGCATGGTGTCATGAACAGTAGTCTGACATAGCCGTTGCCTTTTCTCATCTGCAGGTGTGTGTTGTTTCAGCGCAGCATGGCTGTGGTCATCCGCTTGCAAGGTCTCCCGATTGTGGCGGGGACCATGGACATTCGCCACTTCTTCTCTGGATTGACCATTCCTGATGGGGGCGTGCATATTGTAGGGGGTGAACTGGGTGAGGCTTTCATCGTTTTTGCCACTGATGAAGATGCAAGGCTTGGTATGATGCGCACAGGTGGTACAATTAAAGGGTCAAAAGTAACGTTGTTGCTGAGCAGTAAAACTGAAATGCAGAACATGATAGAACTCAGTCGTAGGCGTTTTGAAACTGCCAATCTAGATATGCCACCAGCAAATGCTAGCAGGTCGGGACCACCACCTAGTTCTGGAATGAGTGGAAGGGTTAACTTGCCTACTACTGTACCTAATTTTAATAATCCTTCTCCTAGTGTAGTAACTTCTTCTACTACGGTGCATGAAAGCAATAAAAACATATCCACATTTTCTACTGCCAGTATGGGGACTGCACCTCCAAATCTTGGGAGTACCTTTGGTAGTCCAACATTTAGCTCAACTATACCTAGCACAGCATCGCCAATGAACACAGTACCTCCTCCACCAATCCCTCCTATCCCAGCTATGCCATCTTTGCCACCAATGCCTTCTATTCCCCCTATACCTGTTCCACCTCCTGTACCCACACTGCCTCCTGTTCCTCCAGTTCCTCCAATACCCCCTGTGCCCCCTGTACCTCCAATGACGCCTCTGCCKCCCATATCAGGAATGCATCCTATGAATCCTCCACCTGTAGCACCCTTACCCACTGGAATGAATGGGTCTGGAGCAGCAGTGAATATGAACAGCGGCTTGAATCCATTGTTTATTGGTCCCATGAATCCTGTAAATCCTATCCAGATGAATTCTCAAGGTAGTGTCAAGCCAATTCCAATCAATCCAGATGATTTGTATGTCAGCGTTCATGGAATGCCCTTTTCTGCAACAGAATCTGATGTGAAAGACTTTTTCCTTGGGCTCCGTGTGGATGCAATCCATATGCTGAAGGATCATGTAGGTCGAAATAATGGAAATGGACTAGTTAAGTTTTTTTCTCCTCAAGATACSTTTGAAGCACTGAAGCGAAACAGAATGCTGATGATTCAGCGCTATGTTGAAGTTAGTCCTGCAACAGAAAGACAGTGGGTAGCTGCTGGAGGCCACATAACTTTCAAGCAAACCATGGGTCCCTCTGGCCAGGTACATCCTCCTCCTCCCCAAGCTCATCCTAGGTCCAAATCTCCCAGTGGACAGAAAAGGTCGCGGTCGAGATCTCCCCATGAGCACGGTTTCTGTGTTTATTTGAAAGGTCTTCCCTTTGAATCGGAGAACAAACAYGTCATAGATTTTTTTAAAAAGCTAGATATCGTTGAGGACAGCATTTATATAGCTTAYGGACCTAATGGGAAGGCAATTGGAGAGGGATTTGTTGAGTTTAGGAAYGAAGCTGATTATAAAGCAGCTTTGTGTCATCACAAGCAGTACATAGGGAATCGCTTCATTCAGGTTCATCCAATTACAAAAAAGGCAATGTTAGAAAAGATAGATATGATTCGTAAAAGATTRCAGAACTTCAGCTATGATCAGAGAGAAATCCTGATGAATGCTGAAGGAGAGCCAGGTTTGCCAAAATTGTGTGCACATATATCTAATATTCCATACAATATAACAAAAATGGAAATACTTCAGTTTCTAGAGGGACTGGCAGTAGAAGAAAACTCTGTACAAATTCTTGTTGATAATAATGGGCAAGGTTTAGGACAAGCACTGGTTCAGTTTAAAGCTGAAGATGATGCTCGTAAGGCAGAGCGTTTGCACCGTAAAAAACTGAATGGAAGAGATGTTAATTTGCGTTTGATAACTGTAGAAGAAATGAGAGATATTGAGAGAAACCCACCATCTCAAGGGAAAAAGATCCTGAAAATACCGATGCAGGGAAATGCAGCTGTGCCAGGAGCACCGGGCCCTGGTGGGGATGAGCATGCCTTCTTGGGGGGAAACGCTAAAGAGGCAAACAATGGTCCTCCATTCAATTTTCCTGGTAACTTCAGTGGCTCTGGCACGTTTGGTCCCCCTTTACCACCACCTGGAATCGGTGGCTTTCCTGATTCTAGACCAGGAATACCCACAGTTGCAACCAGTGGTTTGCCTGGTGCAAGCATTGAGGTACCAGGTTTTGCAGGTGGTCCTGCTAATTTGAGTGGACCAGCAGGTTTTGCAGGGGGTCCTCAGACATTTGGTAATGGTCCTGGCAGTTTAAGTGGGCCCCCTGCCTTTGGTGCTGGTCCTCCAGCAATTGCTAGCGGTCTTGGACATATAAGCGGACCTCCAGGATTTGGACCCGGACCAGGAAACATACATATTGGTGGACCCCCAGGTTTTGGAACAGGATCTGGGAAGCCAGGGCCAACTGTCATTAAAGTGCAAAATATGCCCTTTACTGTTTCGGTGGATGAAATTTTGGATTTCTTTTATGGTTACCAAGTAATCCCTGGTTCAGTGTGCTTAAAATACAATGAAAAAGGCATGCCCACTGGAGAAGCAATGGTTGCATTTGAGTCTCGGGATGAAGCTATGGCAGCTGTTGTTGATTTAAATGACAGACCTATAGGCTCCAGAAAAGTAAAACTTGTTTTAGGGTAGCTGTTCATCTGAAGTAGTTGTAGAATAGATATTCATAGTGCTGTGATAAATGCATCTGGATTGGTTTTTGTAGTATTTCCAGGATAGAACCTGTGGATTGTTTAAATTGTAAAACAGATTGGTTTTGTTAAGACAGAGCACTGGGTTAGCCATTACATGCRAAACACTGCAAGGAGAGATGTGCAGTGGATTTTCCTCGTACAAATATGCGGAGAAGCTGGACAGATTCTTATTCGTCATGAGTTTGGTAAATTCTTCCAGACACAGTGCTTATCGAGAAACCGAAATTGGTTTGACATAGTTTTGGATAAGGGAAATAGATGAAGTCAGTGAAGCTCTTCAGTGGTGTTCTTGTAAGCCATTGTAAAATAGATAGCTATTTTTAGATTTGGTTTAAAGCTGGCTGAATTTGCTTTGTTTACAGGTCAAAGCTTTGTTTAAAGTCCTGATTTTATTCTGCAACTGAATGAATTCGCAGTGTACACAGATCAATTGCTTTGTGTATGTATCTTTATTTTTTCCAAAATTCTCACTGTATGAACAGTTGAATTATGCCCTTTGCTGATGTGTCTACCAAACTAATTCCTWTGAGTATGAGCAGAATCGTTCTGTAAAATTCAAGCTGTTCTTTGTGGTATAACCTTTAGTTATTTATATATTGCAATTATAACTGTGCAGAATAAGACTTTTGCCACAAGTGTAGCTAACCTCAAACATAAATCATATGAGTTTTATAGTACATTTAAAACATTTGCAGTTGAAAATAATCATTATTGTTTAAGTAGCTTGATTTGTTAGGATTACACAAATCAGTTGGGAAAGGATCTTTGACACTAGTTGGATATTGGTGTTTCTCACTTGTCTCTTGAACTCCTCACRTAGAGTCTCTGCTGAGAGAACCAAAGTGGTGATTTTTGGTAAAAGATTGGAGTACAGATAAAGTTTTAAATTAGGTTATAATGAAWGAAACTTGTATCTTCAGCAACTCTGTTGTGAATTACTGCTATGGGTGAATTCAGAGATAAAATTTATTTTTCTCCAAAACTTGAAAATACTGAGTTTACTATCTATTTTTGCAATAAAGTTGTGCTGTTGTATTCAAAGTCTGTAAAGAGTTGCCATTTTCTTTGTTGTGCAGTGAAGCCTTCCACGGAAAAACAGAGAAATGGAAAGGAAGTAATTATGCAAGTGAAAAGTAGATTTTTTTTTTTTGTTCATCCTTGCTTGGCTTATGATAAATTTTAAGACCTGAGCATTGCCTGAAAAAAATACTGCGATTCCCTGCAAATCATTGTACTTAAACATAGTAAACTTCAAACTGTTTTTGGTTTTTTTTTGATGAAGAACAGTGCCTTTTGGTGTTGCATACCATGGAACACTGAAGTGTGTGGGCAGGCAAAATTGAGAGGTGCAAGTGGCAACAGTTTTATTCGTGTGGTGTGTAGGAGAGATATGCAAACCTGTGCAGCGCTGCATCCTGAGAGGATTTCACAGTACAGGAATCCATGGAAGGATTGTATAAAGGTGTACTTCAATAAAGAGGCGGTTGCATTACACAGATGCTTCTGTAATTCATTAGCATAATTTTGTTTTGACAGATTACTAGGTGGTCCCAACTTTGGAAAAGTCATGTGATTTGTATATACTGTTTAAGCCTCCTGTTAATAAAACTGTCTGTCTCTGAAGCTTCATGTTACGCGTTTCAACAGTCTTTGGGAGTAATGTTTCAACAGCAGATCTTTGTTTCTTCCCTTTTTTTCCTGAAAGTCTGAGAGTACTCTTGCTGATGTCGGAAAGATGTGTGATTAGGAGTCAAGTCAGTTTATTTTAAAATTTTGCTCTTTGTTTTTTAAGCAACTTTTATTAAAGTTTCATACTATATTGGAGTTTTTTGGGTGCTTGTTTCTTCATGTTTCACATTAGAATAAAATTGCTGAAAAGGAAAACTTGGCTTCATTGTTCACAGAATTGATTTCAGATATTAGTGTGTGTTAACTCACCAAAACTGGTGATAACTGTTTTTTCAAGTTAAATGAATCACAACAATGCTTGCCTTGTTGTGAAATGTAATTAAACTACAGGTGTCTGGAATTAGATACACAGTTCTGTCTTACTGTCTTTTGATTTCACATCATGATCCTTGTTGGTAATGGATCCAAGGCTTTTAGTTTTTGGGTTAGACACGGCATATGCTGTGAAACGTGTTTGTGTGCCTGTTCCTTTGGACTTGCTAAAAGTGCAGGTTTGTTTTGGAAAGCTTTTTTTCTGATTCTTGATTTTTCTGTATGATCTAAAGATGTTTAAATGCTTATCTGAAAAAAACGTGCAAATGAAAAACCATTGGTGTTGGGAATGTTGACTTGGGTGGAATTTTAAATGGAGGATTTGGGGTGGGGCAAGGGGCTCTTCGTCTTGCCAAGCACTCARTGCTCCTTTTAGCATAAATTAGTAAGTACACCTTAAGAGTAGGCTCTTGGG